GACAGGCTAGTTGTATGTGTAAAGGTAGATCAACAGAAATATAATGTACGTTTTCATTTCTGTCAGAATTGTAATTTCACAGGGCAGGGTTTCTTACAGTTTTGACAAATTATGTGGCGATATACAGTATACTGTATATTACTGTAACCGATCTTTTATGTAACACAGAGGATACAAATAAGGCCGACTGTATTACCAATGTGTGATGATGACGTGATTTTAGGGGCTGTGATACCCGCAATAATTAGGTAATAGAATCAGCTGACTGCAAGCATCAGCTGTGACAATTAATAAAATCTTTTTTTTGCAAAGTCTTTATTATTATTACCAACATATACATAATGACAATTAGCAAATCATGACCTGTTTTCCTATGCACCAATGTGCACCAAGGCACACCACTACACACCACTACTATGCACCAATGTGCACCAAGGCACACCACTACACACCACTATGCACCACTATGCACCAATTCACAGTATACTAATTGATATATTTAATCATAATCATATGATCCTAAATAACAATCAGGATTTAGCAAGCATGCATACTTGAGTATGCTGAAAAAGTTAAATCACCACCCTGCAATTTAAGATTAAAATATTAGCACAGTAGAATAAAGAATACCAAGATATTTTTCTCCTCCCTGAGTACACAGATAAAAAGATTGCAGATTAATTAACATCTTATCCAAGAAACATGTCATTATCATTACCATCTATTATTTCTGCTACCCCATCTATTCCACTACAACTACACTCATCAACAACACAGTTGATAACTAATTTCTTCAATGAATGTGCATTAGCAAAAGTCATCATTGACTTTCAAGAGTCACAATTCTCCACCTATTCAATTAGTAGCAGAAGGGGATGATATCTTCATAGAGTTCAATGGGAGTAGACAACAGGTTATTATTGGGGATAGTATTGTTTTTGGTTGTAAGATAGAGGTGTGGGATAATATGAGGTTGAAACTCAAAGAAGAGATACAGATATTGTTGGAATTTCTGGAAGTTAAACAAAAAAAAATCCAAGAGCTTCTACTGCTAATCAATAATGACTCAGGGACTTCCCCTGATACCTCACCTTCATCATCAGGAACAGCTACTTATACTCTGACAACCACAAGCTCTTACTCCATAATCTGCAATAGTCAATTGCCCATTCAATGGAAGCTGGGTGAGAAGATGCAGTCATTGGAGCTGGCACAATTGGCACAGGCACCAATAAAATCATATGTTACACCAGTAGTAACTGATGTTCAGCAAGCAGCAATTCTCTATCAGCATGCATGGAATGCACTAAGGTTAAGGTCACAAAACTTGCCAATGCAAGATAAGTACATCATCACCACTGATGCCCATGGGCAAGCTTATTTGCAGAGAGCAGCAGCTATTCTCTAGAACAACAATCACATAGTTTAAGTTTCAATATTAATAGAGTGAAAGTAGCCAGATCAAACGGATATAACATCATCTTAACAGATGAACAAAATATACATTCAGATTTGATATTGATCACTTTTATCAAGTCACATCCACTTGATAATAATATCTCTAACAATGAAAGAAAAGAAAGGTGGATCATTTGGAATTAGAAAGAATAGAATTGAAATTAGGAAATGAGTTGATGTGGGCACAAATGGAGAATGTGAGGATTAAAAGAGAGAATGAGTTGCTCCAGAGAGAGAATGGGGTGCTTTTACAGTGAGAGGTTAGAGATATGTTTTTCTTTTTGTAAATAAAAAATTTTTTATTTATAGAAAATTATTTTCCAGATTCGAATTGTTGATTTCCCTTTTCCAGATATAGTAATAAAATCATACAATTTAAACTCTTTATTATCTAAGGAAATTTCTAAATTAGAAATCTCTTGCATTTTTCATAAACCATTTTTGTTATTATTATTATAATAATAGTAATAGTTTCTAATCTTGCTACAAATATTGTTTTCAGAAGCTAAAATAATTTGAGATTTATTTCAGCATGTAGAATTACTGATTTGGAAAACCCATTCTTTGATACAATACGCCCTTATACTAATTGATTTGTATTCATTAATGTTCCTTTTAATTATTTATTATATTTTATCATTTTTATATTGTCAATTGTATTTTTCTATATAATCATAAAAAATTTTATTAAAAATCTTCAATGGAATCTCATGAGACCATTTTCATGTAACAAGAAACTTATTATATATTATATTGAGTATTTGGATCATACTGTATATTAATATTGCATTCATTGGTAATTTTTGCTGATACTATAATCACATCATTATTATCTATTTGTAAAATTGATGATCATTTGAAATAAATCTATCCAATTTCTCATTCATACTATTCTCTACCCATTTCTCTCTTTCTTTCAATTTCTTTATTATAATAATAACAACTTAATATTAATACAAAGGTAACATCTACACATGACATTTTATTGTTTCAATCTTTTATTATTATTATTATTATTATTATTATTATTATTATTATTATTATTATTATTATTATACAGTAGTGTTCAAAAAAAATGGCACAAACAAATTTCTTTCTAACTCATCACATATTGCTCCAAATAATATAATTTAGACTTTGTTTGAAAGCTTAAAAGGTGCTGATTATTGATTCATTATTTAATATGGGATGCGATTACCATTATTTTCTATAATTAGTTCACATCGACGTTTCATCGAATCTACTGAATTAATTAGGATAGTATTTGGAATGTTGTTCCACTCTTCAGCCATAATAATAAACTGTTCCAATTCCTTAATGTTGTTTGGTTTACACCTTTCCACATTTGTTTTACCAATGTTCCAAAGGTTTCAATAGGATTAAGGTCAGTACTGTTGGAGGGCCAGTCCAAAACCATTGGAACATTGTTTTGGAGAAAGTCCGCGAAGTATTCTTAGGATCATTATCCTGTTGGAAGTGCCATCTGCTTCCCAACAGTTCTCTTATTTCTGCAAGGTGTTGCTCTAATATTGTAACATAAAAATTTGCATCCATT